CTACTTACATTAAAGACACTAATCATGCTCTTTCTATTTTTAATGATTTCCGCTTTCCCGCTAACTCTAATAAATTCTTGTTCACTATGGATGTTAAATCTTTGTACACTGTTATTCCCAATGACGAAGGGCTTCGCGCCCTTCGTTATTTCTTTGATCGTCGTTCTGTCCTTCAGCCTAGTACTCCTACTTTATTACGCTTAGCCGAACTTGTTCTCACTCTTAACTGTTTTTCTTTTGGTGATCAGTTTTTCAAGCAGATAAATGGCGTTGCTATGGGAACCAAAATGGGCCCTAGTTATGCTAATTTGTTTGTTGGTTACATTGAAAACCTTATCTTTCAACAATATACGGGTCCTAAACCTGAGTTTTTTGGCCGCTATATTGACGACTGTATTGGGGCTACCTCTTGTTCTCGTGACGATTTAGACTCTTTCATTTCTTATGTYAATTCTTTCCACCCTGCCTTAGAATTCACTTCTGAAGTCGGTGACAGGTCAGTCACTTTTCTTGACATTCAAGTCAGTATTACTGACATTCATCTCAGCACTACTGTGCATTATAAGCCTACTGATTCTCACTCTTAWCTYCTCTAYTCTTCTTCTCACCCTAAGCATACTCTGAATGCTATTCCTTTCTCTCAATTTCTACGTCTCCGTCGCTTGTGCAGCGACGATAATGACTTTTCTAACAAATGCATGGAGATGCGTTCCTTTTTTCTTAATCGTAACTATCCTCCACATGTCGTTGATCAAGCTCTGCGTAAAGTCTCTCTCATTGATCGTAACACTGCTCTCACACCTAAGGTTCGTGCTCCTAATGACCGTATTCCTTTTACTCTTACTTATCATCCTATTAACAGYTCTATTAAGCCTATTATTAATCGTAACTACTTCTTACTCACTTCTGAAACTAACACTTCTCACATTTTCAACGACCGACCCCTTTTTTCTAATAAACGTGACCGTAACCTTCGTTCTTTCCTAGTCAAAGGTGTTTTACATTCTAATAATGATCCTGGCACTTTTCGTTGCTCACGCAAGCGCTGTAACACTTGTCCGTACATTGTCTCGCACACTTCCATTGTTGGTCCTAACTCGTCACTCAAAATCACTGATCACTTTGATTGTACCACCTCTAATGTTGTCTATTGCATTAAATGTTCGCTTTGTAATTTGTTGTATGTCGGTGAGACTGGCCGTCGTCTTGGCGATCGTATCTGTGTACATCTTCGTAGTATTCGTAAGAATGATCTTGATAAGCCTGTCTCCCGCCATTTTAATTTACCCAACCACTCTATTTCTAACTTTATTGTTTTTGGTTTGTCTTTGATTAGCGGCAATAATGATTGTCGCAAAACCAAAGAAATGGGGCTTATTCACCAATTGGGCACTTATAATCCCCATGGGTTGAATGAACGCTTTGTTTTCAGATAAGTTTTAATTCTTTTGTTTCCTTTTTAGCACCTTTATTGTTCTTTTGTCTAACACTTCCTTTGCTTTTTTGTTTATTTCTCGTCACCATGCCTACCTTGCTCCTATTGGTCTATTCTCTTTGTTACTCTTACTATATAAACTCACACTATACCTAGTTCTCTCTCTTTACTCCGACGAAGGATTAACATCCGAAACGTCAGTAAGTTTTTCCACATACTTTTTTACGGTGTTAAATTTATCTTTTCACATAACATATTTTGTCAGTTGTATTAACCCAACAATTTTCAAAGCATATAAACATCTAATCAACATTAAACGTATGTTATTGAAATAAARAGGGTTAAGCTTATTTTCTTTGAACWTTTTAGGCAATGTAAATGAATTTCGGTTGTTTAAAATATTTGGTGTTTCAACGGATTATTATATTCATTTCTATGCAACTGAGAGTGATTTGCCCAGACTAATTTTTATGTATTTGAAAAGCTCATCTCTTGTTTAGTAGGCAAGCCGAATTTTATTGCAAACAAAATACTTGCACGTTTAAAAAATGATCGTTTTGTAAAGGTACTAATTTGCATATAAAAATACATATGCGAATATTTCGAGTTCCAGAAAATTTTCCTTTTAATTAAATGGTCTGAAAATCACTGAAATAAATATCAAAGAGTTATTAAGAAAGCTGCAATTGAAATTTTTAAAATAGCTATTTTAGTTTTTACATGAACTCAGTATAAAGTTTGGCTATTTTGAGAGCTATTTTTAACAATCAATCATCTGTCACGCAAAGGTCCAGTATGTGACATGAATTAGCGATTTTCTTGCGAAAAATGAAATATTTTCAAAAACCAATTACACAGCGATTGTTACCTAATCATACCTTATCAATATACAAAATATGAAGAGATTTGATTTTTTGGGCCTTGCCAAAAGATTTCAGTTTTGTCTGGTTTTTGCGCGAAGCGGCTCTTAACTTGTTATGTAATTGGCATATTATATACATAAAGCAAACAAGTAAACAAACAAAAAGTTGATAATTTTAGCCAATGTCTTCTTTATATTAAATGTAAAGGTGAACTAGTAAATGTTACTAAGCTACTTCAAAATTGTAGATTTTTAGGGATCATACCACCTAACAGAGCTCTTTTTTTTCTTTCATGTGTAAGATTTTAGTATTTGTGTGTCAGATTTTGTATAAATATTGAACATAATTGAAAATTCTTAAATTTAGAAGCTACAAAGAAGACTGAAGGGACTCCAGTTACAAAGCACATGGACATCTAAGAAGAAAGAATCAGTAATGAAAGTGATGACAGCAGACTACATGAGCAGTGATGAAAGTGACATGAGTGAGGGTGACTATGGGCCAATAATCAGGGGGTACAAAACAAAGAAGTTACCTTGGGAGAGGTCAGTCTTGACCAAGGTAAAAAAAGAATTGGACAGAAGCTACTACAAAAGCCTGCCAAGGAGAACTCGAAGCGCCATATTAAGACGGTCTTCGAATGATGCCATTTCTAGCCGACCTGCCCCAGTAGATTTTGTAAGCTGGGCAGTAAGGGTCGAAAGCAGAGTAAGTTCAAGTGTGATGAGCACTTCCAACTCTTCAACTGACAGTTTTAATAACATTGCTCTTTCACCAATATTTTAATATTTAGAAATTTTACTTATATTGTACAAAGACTTTTTAATTTATAATATTATAATTTATATATTTCTTTGTCTGAAATTAATCACAATTTCAAAAATATTCAAAACAAAATAAATATTTTGAAAGTATTTCTTAAGTCAGATTAAGAGAAATAATGATATTATACATGTATACATAGTTCCAGTTACAAAACAACTACTTTACTACGTATATAAAGCTACACAATAGAGTCTCATTACTTCAGCTTTATATTCTCTTGTAAAGCTGAAGTAAAGCTTAACTTTATAAAATGTAAAGGTGGAGTAAAGCTGGTTAAAGCCTGCTTTATATTTGCTTTATACCAGCTTTAAATGCAAGTGTATGTTTTAATGCAAACGTGTGTTTTGATGCTGTGACTTTTATGCTTCTGCAAAGTTGAGGTTAATTTGTGCAATTTTTGTGCTAAAAATGGCCATTTTCCAGGGGGGAACCTAACTTCCCCCCCTTTTGACCGATCTCAAAAAAAATATAGAATGTCAAATAACTTACTAAATGCAATTTCCAGGGGGGAACCTAACTTCCCCCCCTTTTGACTGATCTCAAAAAAAATATAGAATGTCAAATAACTTACTAAATGCAATAAGTGTGCCAAGTTTCAGGAGAATCGGCTGACCCCCATGTAGCACCCACTGCCTGGTTTTCTCGTGGACACACTCTTAATTTGCACTCGTTTGTTTTTCAAAGAGCCAAATTGCGTTCGGTCTACGGCCTCATGCAATTATGGCATCTTTGAAAAACAAACTCGTGCAAATTAATTCCAAATTGAACTCGAAACCATCTTATTACCTATACTAATATTTAACAATTATTCGCAGAAGGCGAAGTGATTATCAATGAATATTTACCTCGCGGCTCGCTGAGCCTGAGGTGAATAATTGTTTCTAGTATAATTTCATAAGTGAATATTCATAAAAATAGAGAAAAAAGAACTACTGCATTTTCTCGTAAAATGTTATGTGGCGGGGATTGAAGATGGCGGTCGAGGGCCGCTCGGATTGACAGCAAAGTCGTCTTCTTGTAATAATTGCCATCTTTCTTCCTTATGGACACGTAAAACTTTGATAGACACTTGTTTAATTCACTTGTATCCATGTCTTCAAAGATGACAGTAAATTCAGACTGTCGTTGAAACCATTCTGTCAAAAAATGTATCGAGTAAAATGTAAACAAACCAGGCGAAAACCTACAAATTTCAGCCTGTTTGACGTAAAACGACAGATAAGAAAGTAGTTTTAGACAAGGTTTTTATTATTAAATAAACAAAACTTACCTGGAAAAAGTTTTAATCCAATTTTTTTTAATCCAATTGTTTAATCCAATGACTCGCGGACGACGCCATTTTGCGAAAAAATCCAATATTCACCTATAGGTGAACATCGCTCATTGAAGCGTAAAATTCGACCAATCAGCGCGCTAGAATTATGATATTCACTTATGAAATTATACTAAAATAATATAATATACATAAAATGCACACAAAGTACTAGTGGAGTTCTGATTGTCGCTGATTCAGTTCTCAATCATATAATATTTTTTTATAGCTAAGCTATTTTTTGTTGTTATATGTTGTTATATTACTAACCTCATAAAGGTAGTTTYCTCCATTTGTTTTTCAATGTTTGTTTTTGTACTGCGGTACTGATTTCTTTTGTCAGCCCTTCTTTCATTAGCTGTTTTTTGTTGCAGGTCAAATCCTGGGACTTTTGCTAGGCCCTCAGCAAAAGTGGTATTAAGAGAGGATATTACATGGGCGCCCGGAGATATGGATTTTATCTTGGAGTGTTGAACTGATATCCCACGAGTGAGCGTAGCGAACGAGTGGGATATCTTTTCAACACGAGAAGATAAAATTCATATCTCCAAGCGACCATGTAATGTTCTGTTTATTATATGATAATATACAACGCGTATACGTTTCCACTTTTTACATTCCATAGTGCTTTCTCGTTTTACAGGACATTTCTGCTGCAAGTTTACATTAATATTGAATGTTCCTCCTCTAATCGTCCCAGAAATTAGAGAACCAAAAGCTGAAGAGGCTGCTTGCTGTTCGGCCTTATGACTGACACGATATTCCTCTGTCGACTCAGCAGACATTGATATTACATTGATATCAACACCGGTGGCAGTGGGGATATCAGTTTTATCATTTTGATATTCCCTAGTATCACACTCTATATCATAATAAAATGTTTTCTCAAATAGTGGGGCTACCTTGTCATAAATAGCTTTAGCAGCATTTTTGATGTTTGTGCTTGTGGGTTTAGTTGATGCTTGTTGACCTCTCAGCCTGTTTTAAGTTAAAACTTCTCCAGTTGCTAAAATAGCAAGATTCTCCTTAGCTTTACCCTTTTAATTATATATATAGGAGAATACACAGACACCAGTTTGGGGGTTTCAAGGGCTTTATTAGCCTAAACCGCGCGTGACCATAAACCCCCCAGCAGGGAGGGGTGGGTGGGTAGCGCGTAGTATGTAGGACCTCTAGGCTGAGCTGTATGCTGAAAGTGATGTACCTCGTGCTGACATACTATCTAGGCGGATACAGTTACAGGCCGCTGTTAACCGTGAAAAGCTCGAGTTTGTTAATGTGAGCATCTTGTAAGTCGGGATAATCGATCGCCCAGTTAGTGTAAAACCAGTCGGTATGAAAATGAGCCGCTCCACCGTTGAGACAGGCATCGGTGGAAAATTGTTCGATCTGTGTAGGCTCGTTGTCTACGAAAAAGGTTATTCCATTAAATGTGTCCATAAAGTCGATCCACCATTGCAGATCGTCGCGCATTGACTGTGTTAATCGCTTGTGGTGATGGGGCCGTTTGAGGTTGTTTATGTGGTCGATTAATCGACGTAAAAACGTGCCGCCGCCATATACTACTCTCGCTGCAAAGTTTAGTTTTCCCGCGAGGGATTGTAATTCGCGCTTGGTCATCTTTGTTCACTTGCTCGCTGTCTGTAAGGATGATTTTATTTCGCATAGTTTTGAGTCGGGCAGTATCAGTTGCCTTTTGACGCTATTTATTTCAATT